GAATGAAAGCACCTGAACAACAGACATGAATGAGAGAATGTGCTGGTAACAAGATGACTGCTTTGACTGGTACCTTCCAAAGCTTTTCCAGTGTTGGGAGGCTTGCTTTGTAGGCAGTGTTGCTTCTGCTTTGCTGTATTGCCTTGCTCTTGGAGCCTGCTCTTTCTCCTTACCTGCTCAGTTTTATCTCTTCCAGCTTTTGGGACAGTGACAGTGTTTGTACAGTCACAGATGCAACAGAGCCTCCATTGCATTAGAGTCTTTAGGCACAACTGTGATATAAGGGACTGCTGAAGCATCATTTATGTGGATTGTTGAGCCCTGTTTCAGATGGTGAGATGTACAGATAAAAGAGAAAATCTGTTTAGAAATTGTGAGGTCTGTGGGTTCCATGTGGTTACATCATATGCTGATAGAGGAATGAGATAGATTTTGTGCAGGCACATTTACTGACCTGGTTGCTTGAATTGGTACTGTCAGCATTTTTATTAATTACTTTTCTTGTGCCTGTAAACCCTCTAGGTGTGGGTGAAAGAGAAAGCTGGGTGTACTCTGCATTGGACAGTCATTCCAGATCCTTCCTCCCCAGACATGTAGTTGTGGGGCTGTTTTCCCGCCTTCATTAGAGGCTGATGGGCAGCATTGAATAATAAGGGAAATAATTAGGAAGCTGCAAAAGATATTATTTGTGCTCATGAAAGAGAATGGTGCTGAGGATGTTTGGTCTTACCATGTTCCTTTGGGACCCAACTGGACAATATTTGAATTTGCCCCAAGGAGAGGGTTTTGCACTTCCACCTCCATGCACAATTTTTTACTTGGGATCCATCCATCTTGGACTTGTTATAGGTGGACTTAACTGCAGCAAAACTCCTGGGTCTTATTTTGTGTTCCTTCTGTCTGGCTTTTATCTTCTGTTCTTTCCCTCTCCAAATTACCTTGACACATTGCTGCAAAATCCTTTTTCTGTGTTTCTCCTCCTGCCACTGGGGACTGCCATCAGTATTTCTCCCTGCTTCTCCATCCTTATGGCCATGAGTGCCCAGACCTGTGGGCAGTCCTGGACAGGCAGAGCATCTTGTGCCACTCCTATGGAAGGGCTGTGACACGTCCCCTTCAGGAGCTGGCTGCACTGGTGCTGAGCCAAAGGAGGCCAGGTCTCCTTCAGGAGTCCCTTGCCACCCTCCTGCCCTGCTAACAGCTGGCCGCCTGTGCTAAGGGATAATTCATGCATGCTAATGCTGACAAGGGACCCCAGAGGTTTACAGGGAGTGCTCCAGTTGGGCTTCCTGCCAGCTCCATTGTAACCCCCAGTGACAGAAATGTGTCCTGGTGGAGAGGATGGGGACAGGAATGGAGAGGGTGAAGTGTGCACGCGATCTTTGCAGTGCACGCTGCCGTTGTTGTTATTTACACTTTTGCTTAGGTCAGCTTGGTTGCTCATTTCATTTTTCTTTTCACCAAGTTGTCAAATGTCTTCACTTCTCCAGCAAAGGCACGTTTTGAAGCCCTGGTTTGGTTTTGTGGAAGGGGGAGAGTAGAGAACATGCCTGTAGGACTAGAAGGAAGCTGTGCTATTGTGCCCACTGAAGGTTTGACCTTATTACCACATAGCTGGCTGCTGGTTAGGTCCTTGTGGTATTGCAAATAGGTTGATGTTTTGGATGATTTTCCAGGGAGATAATGCTGGATTATTGTAGGACTGCCTGCAAGGATCCCTTTGGCAGTAGCACAGCAGGGACCTGCCAGGCTTCAAACTGCTCTGGACAGAAATGGCAAGAGGCAGCCAAGGATGGCTGCTGGGGACACATTACTGACCTCATCCTCAAGCCAGTATTTCCTGAGCCTGGTGCCTTTGTCTGGAGTGCCTTGGCTTGGGTTGGTAGAGTGCTTATTTTGGGGGTAGTTTCTGGCTTCTTAGGTTGTGGTTTGTTGGTTTTTTTTTTGTTTTTGTTTTTGTTGGGTTTTTTTTAAATTTTTATTTCCTGTTTTGGTTGGGTTTTTTTCTTTTTTTTTTTACTTTTAGTCATTATAACAAACTCTTACACTGCCTCTTCAAGTGATATAATTAAATTGCAAGAACCGGAGTCCTAATTACCCTCTCCCATGTGAGAGTTGAGGAGCTCATCTTCAGAGAGAGGCTGTTGGCTGAGATTCAAAAGAGACAAATCTCAAAGCAGGCTGCATCTGTGTTGATATTTACTCTTATTAAGAATAATGGTCATTACCAAGTGTTATCAGAGCAGGTTGCTCTTTGCAGGTTATTTTTGTCTCTCTGTAAGTGAACACAGAAGGAAAAGCAGAGGGGTGCATCTCTGCCATTTCTGTACATCTCCTTTTCTGCTTTTTATGAATAATAGTTAGCATAGCATCTGAGCTGGTGGGTCTGGCATGTGCAAAAATCTGCATTGATGCATGAAAAAAATACTGATACATATTTAGATGTTTCCTATTCTTGGAATTTGCTCCTCTTCTATCCCATGCATCAGTGCAGATAGCTTGCATAAACAGGCTTAATTCTCAATGCAGTGGTGCAGAGAATCTGCCCACTAAATGGTAGGAGACATACTGGAGCAAACTGCTGCTTTCTTTCCTGTGATAATGGCTGTGCATTCAGGCAGCTGTGTGAATCTCTGCAAATGGAGAAATCCTGAAAGCAGGGCACACTTAGATCCAGTGAAATAGCTATTCTTATCTTCTCTTTTTTTTTTAAATAGAATCTCATGCAAACAGAAAATGAATTGCTAGGAGTTGAAGTGGTAGGAGTTTCTAGTTACATACCCACAGGTATAGATCAGTAACAATGCTTTGTAGCTTTTTTTCCACTCTAAACCTTTCAGAATATTAGTATCCATTCAGATCTCTAAATGACACGTAAGGGAAAATTACACTTTCTTCCCGACATGGTTAGTTGTTGCACCAAATAGCTGGTAGAACAGGCACAGGATTCTCTTGATACCCAGTTTTGTCCTCTGCCTGTACCAGAACAAATGTCTGCACATCTTGGGGTTTCACAAGACCGTGTTGCTGAGGTTTCAGCATTACACTTGTTGACATCAAGCACCTAACATTTGTCTTGGCAAAGCTGAGATAGCCACAGGTACACCTGCATGCTGGAAACATTTGGGAGTGTCTAGAAGAGCATTTACAAATGTTGACTGTTGTGTTGTCTGACTGTGGTGAACTGCCTGGCACTCAGCTGCAGCAGGGCCACAAGACCTTCTCTGTGCCTCTGAATCTGTACAGGGTAAGACAAAAGGATGGTCTGAAACTGGTGTCTTCTCTGGAGATTCCTTGACCTTCGAGCCATTTAGGTTTAGACCATTTGAGAACTGCAGGGGAGAGAAGACATGGATTTGACGTTGCTGCAGGCTTTTTGTATGAACTCCATGTGGCAGAGATGGTGTTTTGGCATAACTCCAAATCCAGGGCATTTGTTCCATAGTCTGGTTTTGTTACAAGGAGATGTGTCCACATTATTCAGTTCTCAAGCTCAGATCTCCAGCCTCACAGAGAAGCAAAGAAAGTGTTTCTGGGATACAGTGATGTGAAAATGCAAAACTGACATGAATCCAGTAAGACTCTTCAGATAAATACACTTCTGTTCAACTGAGATTACAAGTGCTCCTTCCTGATGCGGTAGTTGTGTGCTTTGTTAGGTCCTTAAAATGCTCATTTCTATCTTCAGCATAGTATTCTGATTTTGCTGCATGTGTCCATGGCACATTCCTCCTTATTTCCAGAAGCATTTGGGTAGTTTCCACTAAGGTGCATTCTCACTTGCAGCTCACTGTGAGCTTGGTCTTTGTTGTTCTTCACATTTGTAGAAAGGCAGCTGGAGAAGATTGGGAGAATTAGCACCAGTGCTGGCAGCACACTTAATTTGGTGGGGCTCTTGCAAGCCTTGCATCTTGTTGTCTCTAATCAGTTTAAACTTGATGGGTTTTCAGTGTTTTCATTTTCTAAATTGATTTATCTGCGTAAAAGGTACAAGTTGTCCTCTGCTGGGAACAAGTTTCCGAGCTGTTTAATCTTGCTGTTTGTCAATGCAGAGAACAGCCTTGTCAATGTGAATCATCCTCTTTTCTGTTTTGCTCATCTCCCCAGATCTTTGACCAACTTCTTATTCACTTCAGCTTGAAGTCTCCTTATGGCTTCAGTCCTGCACTGTTTAGGAGAGCTGCTAGGTCGTGAAGACCCTTTCTTTACCTGCCCACTGAATCAAATGTATTTGCAGTTCTCTCCCATGACCCTTCTCTCTTCTTCAAGCCTAATTTGGTGCTGGAAGCAATTCGGTCTTATTCAAATAAAAGATCCCTTCCAGCAGGCTTGTCTTTTGATACTTCCCTCTTTTTTATGAGCTGTTTCTGTTCTTATGAGCCTCTGCTTTCCAGGTGTGGCTCCAGGACACATCTTTCATACCTAGAATTAATAGAGTTGCTGGGCTTGGGGCTCCAGAATTTCAACTGGTTGTTGTTTTCTGCAGGACCTTTTTAAGGCTAAACGCTTGTGATTTGGACTTGGACATACCACGAACATGGTTTTTTTTTGGCTTTCTATTATCTTCTGCCAAGTGTAAAAGCTGACCTGCTCTTTCCTTTTAAATCTTTTAACAAACAGTGCTCTTTGACCACCACCCTGACAGTACCATGGTCTTACTGAAATTTGCCTTCTTAAATTTTATGTTAATCTCATGGACAGAAGATCTGCTGAGGTCCTTGAACATGCTGGAATGAGCTGCTTTTCTACTGGTTAGGGCTTGGCTTTGGAATGTAAATTTAACACAGTTCACTGTGTCCTGACCAAGCAAACAGAGAAATTAAATTGACTAATGGAGCTTTTCACAATGCTTGTCCCACAAACTTAACTAAACAGCTCCCAAATTACTGTTAGTTTGGATTAATTGCTGATGATTGCTGACCACAGCAATGAGTTCTCAGGACTGAATGCATTTGATTTTCTATTTTGGTAACCTTTCTTCCAATATGTGTTTTTTGCAGCGATACTGAAAGCCGAAAATTATGCAAGAAGATGAAGGTAGATCCTAATTCAAAGGAGAAGGGAGTGGATTTACTCCATTATAAGTGAGTGCTGGGCTGGGATTTGTAGTTCATAATTGTTGATACCCCCATTAAGTGTTTATTCTTCGTTCAGCTCCATGCTGCTGCAGCATTAAAATGACTGATTCTTTATCCTATGAAATTAATTGCTGTTTCTTCAGTTTGCAAGCATATGTTACGACAGAAGTTGAGTTAAATTTATTCTGCTGTTGAACAGAGAACACTAAAAGCATGAGTGGGGCCAGGGAGAGATGCTCAGTGGACTGAAAACTGCCCAGTGCATGGGGCTAATGCCTAAGATTTGAGTTCTCTTGCTTTCTGTCTCTTGCCTGCTGGCATGTGCCTTGGACAAGTTGCTTCACCTCTCTCTGCCTTTCTGACTTGAGATAGTCCTTCATAATGTGAGTGGAGAAAGGCAAGTGTTGTGAGACAGCAAGATATTTTTCTTCCTGAAAATAATAGGAGTGGGAGTACTATTAGGTACACCAAGCAGCTGCATCTCCATCTCCAAAGATCATGCCTTAGTAAATAATCTTGTTAAAGTGTCAGGGAGGAAATTGTTTACTGGGAAACTGTTTTCTTTACACTGGGTTTGTACCCTCCCTTTTTCCTTGCTCTCGTTCCTCCCCACCGCACCCCCCCTTAAACTACTGTACTGTAAATTCTACTTAGTTCTGTGGCTTCAGCAGGATGATGTTATTCTGGTTAGTGAGAAGTCAGGAAGAGCAGCTTGTGAATTCCAGTAATGTTACTGTAAGTTAACACTGTTCCCCACTCCTCGTTTGACAGGGACGGTGCATTTCATACTGCATATAACAGAGCGGTCACGTTGAAGGTAAATTCAAATATTCCATTATTTTTCTTTTGGTTTTGGTAGATGTGGGTGAGGCATTTGTGGATTAAAAACTGGTTTTGATATTTTTCATGCTGAAGGTATGAAAGGGAGGGGATTAATCTTCATAAACAGTGGTTAGAATGGCCTAAAGGTTTTTGTGTGCATACATGTCTGTCGACCACAGATCCAGCAAAATTGTTTATTATTTAAAAGATTAACCTCATGTTGAACTGGAAGGTAAATTGTAAGTTAGTTTACACGCTGGTAACAAATAAGGATTTTCTTGCTTTGATTACAAGGTGCTCTTTGTGGTAGTATAACTAAAAGTATTAGCTGATACTGTGTTTTGATAAGGAGTTCTCTGAGGTTCTTAGATTGTGTGTTTATAAACTTTAAAGAGAGCTGAGCGGCCTTATCTTTTATCAGATTATAGAACCACAGTTCCTATGAAAGTGCTTTGAGTGCATCAGGTATAAAATGACCTTTCTTCTTTTCTGGCAAATCTTGACATAAAGCAATGATAAGCAACATTGTGTGGACAAGGGAAGAGAGAAGGCATGAGGCATGATACGAATTTGTAGATGCAGATGATTATGGGAAGGGTGGACTGAAAGTGCAGTGAGCAGGCCAGAAGTGTGCAGCTTTCCTTTGCAAAGCCTTGCTGAAGCCCTGGGAGTATCCTGACATGAGGAGCCTGGCAATGACTTGGCTTCCAGAAATCACTTCTGTCCAGCTCTGATGCCCAGTTCCTGTTTCTCTTCCTCCTCCAGCAAACATGGGCTCTGCACAGTCATTGGTCTTTCGAAGGCTTAGTGACATCACCCCAAGTTGATATAATTCCAGGTACTTCCCCTTTCTGGCTTCTTCAGGGCATTGCCCTGGGATGGAGGAAAGCCTGTATGAGATGTTCTGTGAACCTGAGTCTGCCAGAGTGGCTGTTCCTAAGTGCACTTGCTCTGGACCTTGCTTTTACAGCCAGAGTTGGAGAGTATCTGATGGGAGACTGTCTTGGATGTGTGCCCTGACTTGAATTATTTCAGTCTTCACTTGAGGCTGTGATGCAGGATTTGTCTGAGATGGGAAGGGTAGGGCCATGTATCTTGCCATCTCCTGCAGCAGAAATCTTGCCTGGCATTAGGAGGGGCAGTGTTAAATACCCAGCCCAGTCAGCAGCTGCCTAAACCAGCTTCTGTGCTTAATGAGGAATTGCAGCTGGTGATTGTTTTTTTCCTTCGTGGTGGTGATGGGTTAAGGGAGATTTGCTATTTGCCTAAATTTGGGTGATTTGAACAATACATGATGCATCTCTCCTGCCCTCCATAAAGTGCTGCAACCAGGAATTAGTGCTGTGACTCTTCCTTACAGATCAGAGGAAGTGGAAAGCACCTGCAGTGCTCCAGGGAGCATTGGGCTGAGAGGCAATCATAGCACAACAGGAACCAGATCGTTTATTCCTTCAGCTGTTTTGTGATGAGCATTTCACCCTTCCCTTTTGCCCTGCCTGCTGGGAAGAAGAAAGCAGCATCCCATGGACAGGGGTGTGGGATTCCATTGGAGGTGGAAGAGGGATTTTGAAGCTCCCTCACTCTAGGGCCTGGAGTCTTTCTCAATTAAACTGCCCCTGTGAAAACCAGCCACTAATTATTTACAGGTTGGGCAGTGGATCAGATCTGGGCAGTGATCAAATAATTCAGTTGTTTGCTTGTTCTGCTGCTCACAGCTGCCTGGATATTTTCTGTATTTCTCCCTCTGTTCCACTTCTCCCTGTTTTCTTCTGTTGGGCCAGTTGACCTTTGTTTCTCCCTCTCAGCTGTGTTTGCCAGGAGTCTCCCAGTACATACAAACAGAGAGCAGCAGAGCAGTACAATTACACAGGGTATCATACTCATTTTATGGACAGGTGGACACACACCGAAGAACAGGGAGATTAAAGGATTTGTTTCACATCATTCAGCAAATTTGTGGCAATAAAACTTGGATCTTCTTTCCAGACATCCAGTAGACATATTAATATATGGATGACATTTTGGAGCATGATGGACACAGCTCTGAAGAACTGTAAAAGGATTTTCTGGAGTGATCAGCAATTTCATAGATGTGGCTGATCCAGCTGATCATGTACTCAGGTTTTTAGAAAAGCTTTTCATGTCTTAAAGTAATAAAATCCTTATGTAATTAGCAGAGATGTCCTTATGGTTTCACTGTTAGAAAAATGAGGAGGATAGGTCAGTGTTCACAGCAGGGAGAAGTTACTTGTCAGTCAGAACCTCCTGCTGCTGACACCTGTGCTAAGATCTGAGCAGTTTGGGGTATCTAGGAAAGGGAGATGGAAGGCAAGAGAATAGAATTCAGTGATGCAAAATTATTAGGAATAGTTTAAAAAATACATTTCCAATTCTTTTCAGAAGATCTTAGGTTCTCACAATACTAAAAAAGACAGCTGGAGGAAATTCCAATAGAATATATTTCTGTAATTGTGAGTAGCTTAAAAAAGAGAGCAATTACTTCCTTTTTCTCCAAATTTGAGGACAAGCTGTGGCATTTTGGGGTGGTTGATTTGAAACAAATAACTGAAATGTTAAAAAAAAATTGGAACTTGTAGCTACACATTGTGAAAGCCAAGAACTTAGGAGTCTGAAAAGCAGTTTTAGATAGTCATAACAGATAGGTTCATTGGTAGTTAGAAAGCACAGAGGTCCATATACAACAGCTGGTGCAGAGTCCATAAACTTACTTTCTTTTTGCCAGAAACTGAGAGCATGTGCCAGTATAAGCTATATAAGAACCATAAGTACTAGTCTGTCTTGTCCTCAAGTAGCTATAGTCATCTGCTGTTGAAGACAAGCTTAGGTGAGGCTTTGATCTCACCTGGAATGTCTGTTCACATGTTGCTTTAGCCACATGATGTCTAATTCTCAAGAGAGCCACAATGCCAGGATCCAGGCTGTGTTTATTACATGATGAAGCCTTTTCTGGAGTATAAAGTACCAGGAGAGTTTTACCCTTCTTCTAAGATGGAGAGAACTCACTGAAGTACAAATCTGCTTAGTACTAGCAAGGGGAATAGACTGACTCAATAAATTGGTCCTGCTCTAAACCCTGAATCCTTTTCAAGTTGGCTGTTGCAAGCAGTGTATGTGTGAAATTGAGGCAGGTCTAGTTATTAGCATCCTTACTGCATGATGCTTCAAAGGAGTGAAAAGCACAAGGATGTGTTTGTGTATATTTTCTTTCAGGTTAAAACCTAGGTCCATGGATATGATTACGGATCAGCTTTCCTGTTAAAACTTGCTTGTTTTTAGCAGCATGTGCTGGATGAAGCATGTCCTGTACTCTGCTGAATGGAGGTGTGAGGTTCAAAGCTGGCACAGCTGGTTACAGCCCATGGTGTTTCTGTCCATGCCCTGTGGTCAAAGCAGGTCCTGACCGTAGCACGGCAGGACTGGAGAGGAGCTGGTTCTGCAGCACCAGGGGTGCTGAGCCCTGGACCTTGCTGTGGCCTCTAACACAGCAGCCTGGGGACCACTGCTTTCTGTGATTAGAGAATGCTGTAGATTGTTTGGGTGTTGTTCTTCCCTGTTTAAAGAAAGAGAGGAAGTTCTCTTCACTGCATGAAGAACTGACAGCAAGGCAGTGTACTGCCTGCTCCTGCCAGAAGACATTACACATCTAATTTTTTTCTGTCTTGGCTGAGAGGGAGAGGCTGGATGAATTAAATCTCTTTAATCCCCCATCCTCTAACCACATCTGTTTCTACATGACTGAATTTGGCATGCAGGAATTCTTGAAACTAGCAGAGTCAATTACACTCATTAGCTGTTCAAAATGTTCACCCCTCTCTCCTCCTCTCCAGTGTATAGTTGAGGTCTGTCCCTGCCGAGGGTGAGCAGAACTTGATGCAGCTGTCTTGAAGGTAGAACATCTCTGCTGTTTTGTCCTCACTTTCCTTTCCCCATGTATTACTAGTCTTAGGATGTCATTTGGGATGTTAATGCCTCTAAGTCTACAGCTTTTTACATTGCAACTCCATTGTAAATTACTTGATTTTATATATTTTTTTCCTAACTAGCTCCTTTCCCTGATAATGCCACTGTAAAACAAATTTCTTCTGGAGCTGCTTGTCATCCTCAGCCGTTAGATCCTTTTTACTCTGTACATTAAGTGTTTTGGTTGCTGTCTGGTGACTGATACATGCTGTCTCTTGTGATAAGACAAATCTTTTCAATATTAGCTGTGCAAGCAGACAGAAACATAAATGCAATAAATGGATCCTGCTGTAAGCTCTGAATCCTCCCAAGCCTTACAGTACCAACTGAGAGGCAGGAAAATGAGCTGAACTCTTCTCTCTGTTGATAAGTTATTGGGATGTTGTAGCACAGCAGCCCCACCAAAGGCAGACAGGCAGCAAAAATGTCTCTGAGACCCTTCCAGTGATGGGATGTGTCACCAGCTGTGCTGCCAGCCTGCTCCTGAGAAAGGCTCTTCGGTAAGTAGCCTTGGTGTGTGTTAGAATAGCTCAGTGCTGTGGCAGCTTCATCCACTCAGACTCACACTGAAGGAATCTCCTCAGGGACCTCACTGTGTTACTGGTGGGGCAGACATCCTGGATGGGAACGGACACAAACCTACAAGCAATGCCATAGAGAAAGCACTGGGGTATTCTGAGTGGTGAATAAACATGGAATGCCAGGTCTTACGCTTCCTAGAGCACAGACATCTGAGATAAAAGTGATCAAGCCTGTGTTTGCATGTACAGCTGGAAACAGGGAGCAGTGTGACTGCCGGAATCCATGGAGAGTATCTCATTGATTTAGGAAGGCTGGAGTTTCCTTCAGGCTGGGATTGAAGTCAGAGCTAGCAGAGTATTTTTTCTTTTGGTCAAGACAGTATATCTGTGCTCTGCTGAAAGGGATTTTTGGTTGCATGTCAGTCAGGTAAAGCAGTTACAAAGTGTGTGTGCAGGTGTACTCAGTTTGTTGAATGTGGGAGCTGCAGAATCCAATTTCCCACATTCTCCTGTCACATTTGTTTCTTATTCTCATACTTGAAATTGCATTCAATGGATTTTTTAGGTAGGTGGGTCACACAGGGAACTGTTGGTGGATTATTCTTCCTTTGACCAAATGAGCAGTTTGATCTGTAAGTGTGTTGATTTGCTTTTGCTCACAGCAAGTGTTAGTGTGCCCTCCAGCTAGCCTGTTACTCAGATACTGTGAAGGGCATGGGAGCCTGACCTCTGCATAAAGAGAAATCTTTCCTGCTAACCCAGGGACTCTCTGTGGAAGGTCTAGTACCACTGAAAGAGCTCTCTGAAGCTCTTGAAGCTAACCTCTGTGTGCTGGTCCATTCCATTCTGTTTTCCCCAGTTTTATAGTGGGAGTGGGAACAGCTAAGTTGGATACCAGTTATGATGAAGGTACACACCCACGGATCACTTGGTTCTGCAACAGGAGATTTGTGCTAATCTGCATTAGAGCAGATGAATATATGAGCAGAAAAGCAAGGGCATTAATTGGATGTGGTTTACATCACATCATGGATTTGAGATTGGATGTCTCATGATTTCCATTTGTGTTTCTCTAAAAGATTTTCCCCCCTGTTTATTACAGTCCATAGTGGCCTTTCTCAAGGATCCAGAAGGTGCTCCACTGTGGGAGGAAGATCCTGAAGCCAAAGATATTGTGCATGTTGACAGTGAAAAGGTACATTAACTGGATAGATGTTCTGTTGTTTTGTAAATATATGGGATGGAGTGTGTATGTTTGTATTAACTCTTAGTGAAACACCATTATTTTGTTTCTTTGGGAGGGAAATTTAAAGTACCCAGCCTGTTTGAAGTGATTTGACAAATTATGTGGGTTGTGGCTGTAAAGTCCTGTGCTTCCTGTGCTCCTCTGCCCTGCATGTGGTCATGACCTCAGTCTGCTAGCTACACAGCAAGTGTCAGAGCTTGTGGATGGTGTGGGGGCACAGCCCTCTTTGTCTCAGGGAACTGGAGCAGCTTGCAGAGTGCAGTCAGTGCAGAATGCAAGTAGGAGGTAAAATGCTGCTCTTCAAACTGCAGGTTGTCATTAAACCTGTTGTTCCCTCATGTGCCTGAGGTTAGGGAGTGTGAAGCAGGAGGAAAGGGGGTCCAGATCTTGAGGGATTTAACTTGGTACAGGAACTGTCTTCTCAGTGTTAAGTGGGAAAGCAGTGAATGTGGTGAAACTTCCTTAAAAAGCCAGTGCCACCACAGTTACTCATTATGTTTTTTCTAATATAATCAACTTGGTCTTTTATATTAGTTTTCTAGTCTATAGATTTTTTAAACTTTAATTGATTGGACTCTAGCTGGTATTTTGTAAAGGGCTTTTTCAATTTTCTGGCTTTCATTTTTAATATTAGAAATGGTTATTCTGACATTCAGTTTTTGTAGGAAGATTAATTTTTAATGTTCACCCTCTGTACTCTATTACAAGGCTTCCAGGGGTTGCATTCAATTTGAAAACTTCATCTAGTTTTTCTATCATGCTGGTACTGAAAAATCCTTTTTGCATGGCATCTCATAGGTTTGGCAAGGTTTCATAGTGTGAAAAGTGAACTTGTTTTGTTATTATTGAGTCTGACTTTTTGAATTGCAATATGGATTTTGGATGTGTCAGCGAAGAAAGAGTTTCCAGGTGGAGATTCTGCAGTGAGAGTGAACTAAACCGTGGAACTTCCACATATTAACAGTGGAGATACTGGTTTAGGATAGTCAGCAGATAGCTGAATGTATAATAAATTTTGTCATTTTCTTTCAAGTTAAAATTGAGCAAGGAAAAAAAAAATTGAGTCGTGTCTGTTAGGAAAGATGAGCCCTTTTCCCTCAGATAAATGAGCCTGTGTTCTATGAATACATATATTAGTTTTTTAAAGTTGTAGTACAGTGTCATTGAATATAAGTGTGTTTTTTATTTTCCTTGGTTCATTCACTAGGAATTGAGAAGGCTTCTGAAGAAGGAAGACAAACCCCTACTGATGATGTTCTATGCCCCATGTAAGTAGCCCAGCATGTCCTGTCACCTCTTTCCCCCTTCTCCACTGAGAGTTGTCCAAGTCTGACTAGAGGCTTTGCCTGTGCTTCACTAATAATACCATCTTGTGCCACCTTTATCATTGAGCTCCTTGTGTTGTTCTGCCTGTTTGTCCTCAGTTTTCCCCTGGTTCTCCATTACTTGTATCCTGGTCTTGTCTCTTTCTCTTGTGATGATGGTTTTTGCTCAATGTTTTTTTAAGCAGCCGCTTTCTATAATTTTGTAACCTGTTGTCCTTTCTAGATTTGTGCTGCACAGAACAGAAACTCTGTGTGCTGCAGGCAGAGGGAACAGTGCAGTCATCAGGAGCAGGACTATTGTTCCTGCTCCATCCCAGAGGCACCCTGAATGTTCCTGCCTACATGGGCAGGGGTAACTCAGTGAGGTTTCAGGAAGAAGAGAGCACATTGGAGTCTCTCAATTTCTTTTTGTGACCTTGACCTTGTATTGCTGCTATCTTGTCATTGCATTGGCTACTTGTTCCTTAATGTTGCAGACTTACAGCTGCCTTTTTGTGTTTCCTGGTGACTCCTGTGTGAGAGGCTTTCCAGCTCTTCTAAGCAAGATTGTGTTGCACTTGAGTTGTTGCTCAGTTCAGGAAGCAGGGAAGCCATAAGAAGGGAATAAATGTGTGACCTAAACTAGGAAAAGCCTCCCAGCAGTGCCTTGATAGGGAAGTTGATGTTGGGTACCACAAGAAATTTGCTGTCTCATTCTCTTTAAAACTTGTGTCCCATGGCAGCATTATCTGGTGTTTCTCAGTGTATTTTCTCTTGTACTTACTGCCTGAAACACCAGTCTACCTTTTTATTCTCATCTGAGCACTACCAAGATGGCCAAAATTGCCCAAGACTTAGTTTGATTTTTCTTTAAATTAAATCAAATCACTTGTGGCTCTGTGCCTTTGGACTCTGCAGTGGTCCTGTGTGGCCTGGTGTGGTGTGTGGCTGTTCCCAGTAGCTGCAGCCCTGGATCAGCGGGAGATGCTATGGCTGCTCTGCTGGAAATCATCCCTCCAGGGAGAGCTGGGCTGCACAGTGCTTTCACAGTTTACCTCTATCAGGAGTAATTGTTTTCCACAGCCCAGCCTCTTTGTGAAATGTGCCTTATCTAACCCTTCGTTCTCTTTGAACCGTTCCCCCAGAAACCCTCCTCCTTCCAGTTTCTCTTCTTTGAAGTGGCAAAACACCTGCTAGTTTTCAGTGCTGTAATACTTGTGCTGCTTTCCAAACTGCTGTGAAGGAAGTCTACTTGTGAGGGTTTTTTTCCCTCTGATTTATCAGTTTGTAACTCCCTCATCTTTTATTTAACACACAAGACTTTCTGAATTGGTTGTTGTCCAAATTTTTTCTTGCTCCATTTACTGGAGACAGAATACATCCAGCAGTTGCAATAAAATATGGCCTTTGAGCAGCTGAAATTATTGGTTACATACAGGTGTTACCTTTCCTAACTTGGAGCAGCACATCAAGACTGGTCACTAAAAGAAATTCCACTTTTTGTTATTTGTAAGGGAGGTCTTTGGCGTGAGAGGACATCATAGGCTTTGTCTGGGAGGCTGTGGGGAAGACAGCTGCCTTATTTCCTTGCTTTGTTGGAAGCAGGGGCTTTAGATTAATTTTGGCATATTGATAGGAAATGGGCACTTTCATTAGGTACCAGTGCAGAGGGAGATGAATGCAACTACAGACTTAGATGTAGTTACTTTAATATTTCAGGAATGGTTGGTCTGGGTAAAACAACTCAAAGCCAAGGCTTGCTTTCCTCAGAAGATATTGCCTGCCATTTGCAGACCTTTCACTGTACTTTTGGGCCTATATTAGAAAGTCAGACAGCACTAAAGATGAAATATTAGGTGTACTTGAAGGCATTCAGATTTATTTGTAGTTAACTTTGTCAAAGAGGACTCCTGCAGGAGACTGTCTGGATTTGGCAATAAAGAAGGAGCTGTTTATAAACATGATTGAAAACAAGGCTTTAAAAATGTAGATGTTAACTAGTGGAAAGACTAATCTGTATTTAATTAAGCTTCCCTTTTGGGAAAAAAAAATACAAGAAGAAAGAACAGAAGAAAATGAGTTTTTTGAGGTTCCCCTATTATGCCTGTAGAGGGGTACATGTGGCTTGGCAGCATCCTGAAAAATATAACCCAGAAGTATGAGGACAAGAGAGGGTGTACTGAAATGGGTTTGGGAGCAGCAAGTTGGAGGCAGCAGCAGAGCTGGGAAGGGGAGGATGATGGGGATGATGGCTGGGTGGAGGAGGCTGGTGTGTGCCTGTGCCCTAGAAGGTACTCCAGGGAGCAGTAAGAAAGTGAAGAGGGGAAAACAGGGAAATTGCTGCAGGACTTAAGGGCCTGAGGCTCCTGTGGAGAGAAGAAATAGAGGATTCAGAAGATGATGTCTGCCAACTCACATCTTTTGATGTCTGTCCAGTGGTTTGGATGAAGCTGCAAGACCTCAGTGGGCCTTAAATGTGCAGTCTGTGCCCACCAAGAAATTGTCATTTTGACCAGCACTAATTTAACAACTTCATTGTCAATTTGAGCAGAGAGATCAAAGATGGAAAGACCACAGACACAAGAGCTCTCCTTCGTCAGATTAAAGGATGTTCTTTTCCAGGCATGCTGATGTGATCCTAAAGTAGTGGCTGCAAAATCTGTTCCTCCTTCCTGGAGGATACTTTCAAAACTCTCTGTCTGTTAACCAGAACAGAAGCGTTGACTACTGTCCTGTGGTGGACTGAGAGTTTCCACAATAAGTGTCTGGAGTGCTTGGCTCCAGCTACCTTTCTTCCATGCTGTCTGCACTCCTGCCCCTTCCCATCTGCATGCACAGATTTTACTTGGCAGGGGTGAAAACTGCTGCTTACAAGGTGATTTACTGCTAATCTGCTTAGCACTGCAGAGCATCATCAAGCAGCTCTCAGCACACTCCAACTACACACTGGTGGTCTTCCTCACTCACGCTTTGTCTTTTCCACAGCACATTATTGTATCTTACAAGGGCTGTTGCTTCTGAGCTATGTCTGCTCAATTAACAGAGCACCGTTTAACACTTGATGTCTGTGTAATGTGTTTAGGAAATGCATCTCAAATTAATTTCAAAGCCTTGTTAAGCTGGGATGAATCTGAAGTACCTCCCCCTGTCCTTTCAAAGACCATAAATGCACAAAGCTTTTTGTTTTGAGTTCACAATTATGGTATCTTCTGTTGACTTTTGATATGTGCGTTTCATCTTGTATTCTCCTCTGGGCTCAACTCAGAGCCTGAGGAATATAAGATGGTTTTGCTCTCTCCATACAAGGATGAGAAATGAATATGAAAATGAAGAGCATGAAAAATTTGCAAAAATAGAGGCTTGTAACAAGTAACATACTTAGAAACTAATAATCTAATAATGATTTAGTAGATCAAAAATACAAGTAGATAAAGAATTTTTGTTTAATTTTTAAATATAAAAAATATAAAATATTACTTCATATGCTTTGGAACATAGATACTGTAGAAGAGGTTGAATGGAGTTGTTGGCATATTACTTACACAATTTATTTTTTATCAGGGTGTGGTGTTTGTAAGAGAATGATGCCATCTTATCAGCAGGCAGCCACAGAACTCAAGGGTAAATATGTAAGTGAGACAATGAGATTTATATGACATTTCAAAAATCATTTTAACTTTTTTTTTAAGTATATAAATTGACAAATATTTAGCAAAATCAAAATTTTTAAGCCAGCTGAAAAAAGAAATAATCTATTCTGTTCCAGATCTCTTTAGAATTTTCTCTTGGTTTTTATCCTTCTAGAACTTTAGAGAATGAGATGTGAACTCCCTTGCCCTTTAGATCCACTGCAGTTTTTTCCATGGAGATGCCGGCTCTGACACTATGTAGATTTATGTTTTGCCTCTAATTTATGAATTTTTAGGCCTTTTGAGCTCATTTTGGTAAAGAAAGAAATGTTTGCTTTAATGGGTTTGATCAGCTTTTTGGCCTGATGTTTCATAGCAAGGTCAGGAATGGATGCCCTCATTGCAGTTATTAATCCACTCTTTTAGTGGAGAATCACAGTGTTATGGGAAGGAAATCCCCCTCCCATAAGCTACTGGTAACCCTCCAGCCACTCAGCATTAGTAGAATCTTACAGTTTAACTGTAGCTCTGTCAAAGCTGATGTCACATTGATATAAAAGTTTTGACTCTAACAAAGTACAGAATTCACAGTAATTTAGTTACCCCTTTGTAGTTACAAGGTGTATTGATCTCTGTAAGCAAGTCAAAGGCACCTGTCTAGTTGAGGTTTTATAATGGGCTTAACATATGATTTATATGGTGCCAGTAGTACATAAAGGATGAAGAAATAGGATTGTTGTTTCATGGCTGTAGCAGGATTTGGTTTGATCCTACCTGTTGGATCATTCTCTGCTGTGTTTAGGTTTCCTTGTGAGGAAAAGATGAAGCACTGCAGTTCATTGCTGGGGCAGCTCTGGCCATTTGTTCTTGTGACCGCCTAGTGCTGTCAGACTGCCCAACATTCTCCAAACCAGTTGTTTTCAGAAGTGCTTTCTTTAAATCCTTGTTTGCTTAGGGCTGGAATGAGTGGGAGTTACTCAGATTTATCTAGGACATGGCACAAGCCTTAGAAGATATGTTCAAGAGTGTTTTTGTGGAGCCAGGCAGTATTCTAAGGCCATCTCCCCTCAGAGGAGCATGTGCTGCAGCCTTTGGGAAGGCACTCCCACCCTGCATGGCAGTACCTTGTGGGATGAGAGGGATTAGGACTGTAAACATCACCTACAGACACAGTGCTAGAGAGAAGGCATGCTGCACAGCACTCTGTCCTTCTGCAGTTCTCCCTTCCTTGTTCATGTGCAGCTCATTTATTAAATTCAGATAATTTAGATCTATTCTGGTTTGAGTATTTCCTTCCTCACTTGGAAATGGTTTCTACAGATCCGGGCTGATCCTGCACAGCTGAGTGACAGGGCTGGGACACAGTTCTTTGCAGTGGAGGCTTGTGGTGCAGGATCAGTTCAGAGCAAAGTCCAGTTATGCCACTACCACCCATGTTTTCCACAAAAATTGGTCTGTTTGTCAAAATATGACCCAATTAGCTTCCTGAGTGGGATGTGTACACAGCTTGCCATTTCTAAAGTTAACTGTGCTGTACCCATCATAAATTATTCATGGAGTGCCTTGGAGTGATGTTGACCTCCAGATCAGACTTGGCTGCAAAGTTTATGAGTGGTTTGGATGAGCTGAAGGTTTGGCCTTTTAATCTAACCTGTCATTAACTGTCAGGATGTGCCAGGCTCAAAAGTGATTATTGCTGTTATATAGCAGGAAAATTAAGTGCAGTATTGCCTGTTGAAGAGGTCATAAAAGTGAAGGGGTGAACTGTACCTGTCACTGGCCTCTGTGTTCCCTTGGGACTGCTTGTTTCTTGTCCCAGTCCTGTTACTGAGAGGAAGGCAGGGTGGCATACTTAGTTTATATTATGGTTATATCTTATAATTCCGTTGCACCCAGTGCAGAAGGAAAAAGTGCTCCAAATCAGAAATGGATTTATTTTATCTTGGCAGAAAAGATTCCTGTGGTTAGAGGTTTGGCTGGGCTCTGGTGAGTGAGTGTCCACCAGAGCAGGGGGGAACTGGATATTAGCAAACCATTCACCATCTCCCTAATGGCCATGAAATTTGTGAGTGTGCCAGAATGCTCTGCTCAGTAAAGACCAGATTGAGAATATGCTTAAGTGCTTTCCTCCTTTGGTGCTTGTCTTTTTTTTCTTTTAAAAATTTCTTGTGCTGTAAGGTACCAGTTTTTTCCCATCAAGAAAACTGAGAATCCGGGTAGGGGGTCACAATTAAACAGGAATGGTCAGAAGCTCCAAATACTTGGGCAGCTAGGAAAGGTTCAGAGCTGGTTTAGATTACAGGTAGCTTGTTGGAGAGCAGATAAGTGTTGAAATATGTCAAGTGTCAGCGCAGAGGTGAAAGGAATAAACTGATCTTTGTTTCTGCAATGGCTATTACAAGAGGTAATGGACCTAAATTGAGGTTGGGGTCATTCAGTCTTTTGCTAAAAGCAAATATGCCAAACGTCTGGCAGGAGGGCCCTGGCTTTGAGCAGTAGGTGTTTTTTGATGGTCTCTGGCAGCCTGATATTTCATAATTCTGTTATTATTGGCCAGCTAAAGCTGTTACTCTTGTCATTAAAACAAATCCTGTTGTAATAAGCTTTTTTTGCTAAATACTCTTCATATAATGTAATGAACACTGGAATGAATCCAAGTTATTGGCTTTTATCAATCACCTTTAGATGGGCACAGTGAAATTGTCTGACATGGTCAGGAATGCCCACTTAAATCATAGGAAATCCTCTGAAAGTTCACAGCAGATTTGGAATCTGGTAGGCTGGTGTTAGTTAGGGAATTAGTTAACAAAACTGGTTCTTGCTTTATAGAGCAACCATTGTACCTTGATCCTATTGCATTTACCTGCCATTAGGTGGTGGCATGGAGGATAAGGAAAGGGGAGAATTGAGTCTAGATAATCTCATATGAATTAAATCAATCCAGTTGTTTGAACTACAAGGAAAATTCAAAGTGGAGGATTAGGCCAGCATGTATAAACCTAACTTCTGTACTCTCCTCTGTTCATTTTATCCTTTCTTAGGATAGGGAAGAGAAAACAAAGTATCTTCTTGTGACTTTCCAGCACATTCTTAGGAACGGTTGACCTTCAAATGAGGATTTTCTGCTTTAAGATTTATTTCATGCTGGCTCTGAGCACATTTGGTTGGTCTGTGCAGTTTGCTGCAGTCAGGAACGTGGTATTAAATTCTGATGTGGTATTTCAGCTGGAAGGAGAAAATCCTGTTTTTGGAGAGGGAAAGAGGAGGGGGTTGGATTAAGACCCTGCTGCTAAAATGATTTAAGCCGTCAATGCCATTAAACTAAGTTAATCAGGAAGTGGTATCTCAGCAACTTGCTGGGTCCAAGTTTGACAGCAGAATGACCTCTGTGTGAGTTGCACACCCACAAAAACTTGGAATCAATCCCATCTTCCAATTTTCATGTCACAAATATTTGGAAGACATTTGGACAGGGCACAGAATAAGTCACAGGGCACAATATAAGTCACAGGAGCCCTGAACCTGAAGCTCAGGGATTGTTGAGATGGAGGATGGGTTGGAATAGAATTGAGGAGTGAGGAGGAGAGAGTTTTTGTTTTATGTGCTAGTCTGAAGAGCTACTGTGCTTCTGTGCCTCTCTTTTGAAGACTGTAGGACAAGGTTAATTCTTAACTCTCATTATAGCCTGCCCTACCTAAGTTAACATATTTAGAGCATATAAATGCCATGTGCTATTTCCTGAGCTCATGGATATAGGGCATGTTTTATTTTCACATCAAAGTCATGCTGATTTCCCCTTGCCATTCAGTAAGTGCATTTTTGACCTGGGATAATGCTTGTGGTTGGTTAGACATTGACAAGTTGGTTAGACATAGACAAGTTCATTGCTGGAGAGGAAACCAGAGAGCTGAGGGTAGAATTTCTGGTGTCCTGTTTAATGTTTGGATGTGAACTAAGAACTCTTTTTTCCCACATGCAGAAGAAGGAAAAAATCTAGTTGTAGCTTAAAATCCAAATGTGCAAAGCAGAGCACAAGTGGTGCCATTGAGAGAATTCCCTTTAGGTATTTCTGTTAGTGCATGAATAAAAAGAAACAGAGATGCTTCCAGAGCAATGAGGAGGTGACATGCTAACTGCTCTGTGTTTTCTCTGGATTAGACTCAAGTATTGTTCTGTTTTCCCTTGCACAAAATCAGAAAAACTTCAGTGCCTTTTGAGAGAGCCCCTTGCTTGACAGCTGTATGAATGAAATCAGAATCTGCCGAGATTGGAGTGGGTTTTACTTAAATCTTCAAACAAATGGTGTGATGTTCCTGCTGTATTGTAAGAATCAGTAAGATTATGCTCTGTTTTTCCAGGTCCTTGCGGGGATGAATGTTTACTCTGCTGAATTTGAAAGGATAAAGGAAGAATTCAATGTCCGGGGATATCCTACAATCTGCTATTTTGAGTCGGTTATGTTTTGCAACTATTTTAGAAATCATGCACTCTTGTATAATTGAGTGGTTTTATCTTTTAGGGCCAGGACTGAACCTTGTTTTGTTGCTTTAACAGGAAAGGAAAGTTCCTGTTCAACTTTGAGAACTTTGGTGCTACCGCAGCAGATATCGCAGAGTGGCTGAAACAGTAAGGCATTGAACTTCATGCACTCCACCTTTTATGTACTCTTCATTATTTACAGAATGTAATGGTCTGGGAGCAGACATCTCTCCCTCCTTCCCTCTGCTCAGAAGAGCAAACAAAACTACCCCGCTGAGATCAGCTAAACTCATACAGAGAGATTGACTAATGTTTGGTTTTTAGCATGCATGCCTTGCATTTCACAATTGCATTTTGTCTGTAATAGCAGACTGACTGTGGATTAAAATAATTGCAGATACACAGATCTCAATTTTACTAAAAATGCCAGGTTAAATTTCCAGTGATCTTGAGTGCTTGAACTTAATAACTTGCAAAAGGTTTGACTTCTGTCTGTTGTGTTATTAAAAATGTATATACCAAGTGTGCAGTTCTTGTTGGTTCATCAGCCTTTAGCTGAAGCCTTTAAAGTGTCTTGCAGTGACAAACTGAAGATCAAGGCACCCTGGATAGGTAGTCGCTTTTACAACATCTGTGTTTGCTGTCATGACATGAAAGTGTAGAAAGCACCTTGTTCTATCTAAAGAGAGCTATTTGCAGTCATAAAACATTTTGGGGGCTGAATGAGCCTATGGGACTAGCAATTCAGAGACACAGGAAAAGTGTCTGTGTGTAGCTGCTCTTCAATTGGTGCAAATCCCCACATGGTCAGTGAGGCTGATGGAGGAGCTGGAGAGAGCTGAGATAATCTGGTGATGGAGAAATCCCATTTGCAGTGAGCCCAGGCTCTTGGGCATGGTGTCATCTTTCTAACCCTCCCTTGTTTGCTGCAGTTCTGGAAACAGTACTGAAATGAAGCTAAAGAAAGGAAACAAACCCATGGGAAGGAACAGACTGTTGCAAACTACTGTAATAGTACAGCTTAGCAAAATTGGCTCAGAATAAATGTATTTTGCTGTGCTGGGGATGTGCATATGGTTGCAAGTAGCCCAGGGTCTCCAGCAGCAGTAGGCTGAGTACCTCAGGATCTGGAACCCACAAATGAAGTGAGAGCAGCATCCTGTTAGCATCAGGGGCTACAAACACTGCAAGCAAGTTCTGCCCAGTGGCTCAAAGAGGAGGAATTCAGCCAGAGTCATTAAGCCTGGTGTAGTCAATTAAGTCTTCAAATGTGAGTGATCAAGATGGCAACTCCAGCAACTTGAAGATGATCAGCCCTTGGAGCAAGGATATGGCTTAATCACCTGCACTTTGTTATGCTTTTCAATTCTGCAAGGATGTGGTTATCTCTTGGCTACCATATGTGAAACATTAGCTGTTTGGGGTGTTTTTTTCCCCTGTCCTCCCACATAATATCCAGATAATCCCTGCAATATGCAGTACCTTTATATCAGTGCTGTGACAGCAAGTGAACACAGCTACTGGAGGAAAGCAGAACAGCTGCAAGCTCTTTCCAATGATAATCTCTGCTAACAAGCCACTGTGGGCTTTGGCTGATACTTCAGCAGTCCAGAGCTAAAGACAGCTGTTTGTTCTCACTTAGTGCATGTTTATTAGTTGCCCAAAAGATGATCTGAGCAGTAGCCTGGTGCCCCTGTTTTGTGTAATAAGTACAACCTTTAAGGAAACCACATTGAGTAGTTATGTGTATTTACATTTTGCCAGTAATTGATGCTTAAATTACAATCAATTAAATTATTAATAAAACTGCATATAGGCTGAACATGCTGCATACATAATATTATACTATTCTGAGGAATCTGCAGTGCAGGTAGTCAAAATGGTATGGCAAGGGCTTTAGGAAAGCCAAGGAGTACAATGGGATAGCTGTAGGGTGCACTGGCTGTGTTTCAGAATAGCATAGTATTAAAATATTGAAAGGTTGCTTTTGTACAAAATGTTACTCTGAGGACCAGGGTATGGCAGGGCCGTGGCAAGGAAAGCCAATGCATTTTTATACTGTGCATGCATGTGCTGTCCTTGTAGAGTCTTGGAAGCAAATCCAGCAGACATTGAGCCATATGAAATGGCCCATTATGTGTGGACAATAAGTACACTCTGCAGAAAAGTAGCTCTCTCTCTCCCTCTTCATGTTTTTTTCCCTCTAAATACTCATGGTAAAGTGCTGAAAGTGGGTGATCTTAGGCTCATTTGTGGGAGAGAACATGATATAATTTAATGAAAGTTAGAATTATTTAAATCATTGTCCATGCTTTTTCCTCATGCTGCTAGTTTGGAGGGCTCCAACACCTCTCTTATTTTTACTATTTTTTTTCTCTTGCTTATTAAAGGTGCTTCTTTCTTATGCTGAAGTGTGCTAATGTATCAGTCTTACAAATACTTCACCTTTCTTATCTTCCTAATAAGCACTGCCTACTGTGTTATGGAGATTCAGATATTTTTGTGAGAAGATAGAGATGAACTGTCACACAGCCTGAATCCAACCCAGCAGAGATGCTGTTTTGTACATACCACTTTTTTATTAATTCTGATACAGAGCTGTATCAGCCTGAGTGGTAGGCAAGCCCAGCAGCTTCTTGCTGCCTTCAACAGCTGCTTAGTTTGTCTTGCTGTTTTTATAGATTCCCCTCAGGCCCTTTCTTAGCATCAGCTACTTTGTTAAATCAAGAACTTGTCCTGTGTCTCAACTGAATTAGCTTTTGGTAACTCTTCTGGACTTCTGTCATCCTGATCAGGTGTTGACAAGGGTGTGCCTTGTCTCAGTGTTGAATCACATTTTAAATTTTGCTTGTTGCTTTCTCCAGGCCTTGAGGTGTTTCTTACCACCTCCTGTGTAGGCTCATTAGCATGCAGAGCATTTCAAATTAGGCTATTTGAATAAACATCCCGTGCCCTGCTTTACTAATTCCTGACTGAAATAGGTCACACCAGGCCCTGCTGAGCACCATGTTCTCCCAGTGCTTTGCAGGCACTGTGTGATGTTCATCATGCTCTGCCTGCTCAACCCAGCTCCCAAATTCATTAAGTGTCATGGTGTTTGCTGGAAAGCCTTCACCCTGCCAGGATACCTGGAGATTATTGTTCTCTGGGCTGCTTGGCCAGGTGCAGCTCCCACCTTTCACTTTGATGTTTGCTTCTTAGTTTGTTTATCACAGAAGCAGCAGGAGGCAAAGATGTGCATCACAGTTCTGCATGGATTGCTTAATATTCTTGGATCACACCTATTGCTTACATCAACAGAATTTGCTATCTGAGTCTGTGCATCTCTACTGCTTTTTTTTTATCAAACTAGGCTTTCAGCCTAGAAATGAGTAAGGCAGGATAAATGAGTTATCATTTGTTTGCCATTCCTTGTTCCAGGCAGCTAACACAATAATACGTTTTAATAAAAAATAGTAAATCTGCTTTCAGCAGAGATGGGGTCACATCCAGACGTGTACTTTGCCAAAGAATTTGGGGAATTTGGGGGGGTTTAGAACTCATTACTGCAACTGACAAAAATAGCTTCAAAGTCTGGCTCCCAATGTTCTTATGTTTGGGTGTTTTTTCTATGAACACTGCTTTAATAAATAAAATGTCAATTAGCATAGTTCAGATCACAGCTGCCAAATTCTCTTTTTAATGTACATTAATAAAAGCCAAAAACAATTGTTTATTGGGATGATGAGCTGCAGAGGAGCTTAGGTTCAGTTTCCAGACTTGCCACTATGTCTTTGAGCAGGCTCTGACCCATCAAAGACAGCTGAACTCAGGTGCAGTCATAGTGATGTTGGTAGAACACATCACTTGCCTTTTAGGTGAAGCATGCAGCTGAGTATCTCTGCTGAGTTAGGCCTACAAGCCCACTGCAGAGTGAGGACATAAGGATGCTTCCCTGGCTCCTAGGAGCTGTTCAGGGTAAAACCATGTACTCCTGGGGAAATGGTGTGTGTAGCTGGCTCATGGTCCCAACACTCCTTCCTCTGCCGGCCCTAATCACGCTGTCAGTATCCAAGGTGACGGGTTAAATTGGCTGTTTCTGCTCACTGCTTTTTTCTTTCATTTGCAATGACTCCTGTGAACTACAAAGTGGGAATGCTGTGAGAAAGGGAGCATCCTGCTGAGGAGGGTAAAAGAGTAATAGAAAATGCATTTGATTTCTATAATGTAATAACCAAGCAGTCTGGGTATCTCCTCACTCCATCCCCTTCCATTACTGATCTGTTCTCAGGAGCTTCTTGCAGATTCTTTTGTTCCTCCTCCAGTTTTATCTGTGTTTCAGTGCCTGTGAGTTCTGGATGGGTATGGGATTATGGAAGCTGTTCAGTAGGGTTGGTGTATCAGACATGTGTGAACATCTGCACAAAGTGGTTCCTTAGAGTTTGACTTGACAAGATGACTGCTTAGCACCAGAGAGCTGCCTTTAAGCTGTGTCTGTTTGTCTTGTAGCCCACAGGCACCTCAGCCACAGGCTCCAGAGACTCCCTGGGCAGATGAAGAAAATGTAGTTTATCACCTGACTGATGAGGACTTCGACAAGTTTATAAAAGATCATTCATCTGTGCTAGTGATGTTCCATGCACCATGTGAGTTTGTTTTCTCTTCTGTACTCTGAGCCAAATGCCTGCTAATGAAATCAGTGATGTTTTTCTGTGGAAGTTTCACAGAACCATGAACTCAAAAGTCCAGGCTTTTCTTGTTTGTGATGATTGTTAAATACACAAGGCATGAAATGTTTGTGAGGTTGCTGGCTTCACATTTAGGATGGAGATGTGCCTCTGGAAAAGGGACACTTTATAGGCTGAGTCAAAACATAACTGAGGAGTGTAATGCTGCTTAAATAGTCTGATTACTCATCACTTTACAGCATGATTTCCCATTTTCAACTTCTCTTCAGTATTGTTTGCTTTCAAAGCAGAACTCTGATTGATTGAGCAACTCAACTTGAGAACCCTGAGCTCCTGGGTTCTTGTCCATAGCTGCTGCTATGCCATTTTGAGCATTTTCACTCCTCTGCCATAGTTTCTCTGGCAATATAAGGGGTGATTGTCATTGTATATTGTGCTGAACTATGCCAAAACTAGGCCTAGTTTAGAAAGACCCCAGGTCTTTGATAACTAATGCAGAGTTGGTGGTGATACTGTGTATTGTTCTCCTGAAAATGGATTAAACTGATCTTTTTCATGACTTGAGGTTTTAGCTTGATAAATAAAATCAAGTGGGTTGCCTTCAGGAAGCTGAATGCCACACTGCCCTCCTGGATGCTGTTGGGTGGAAGAGTGCATTAAACTCTTAGTTCACTGTGGATATAACTTGTTTCAGCTGCCTATCTGGTTCTTCTAATTGTTTGTGTTTGTGATAGACAATTCAGGCTTGAATCTGCTACACTGTGTGACACACAGCTTCTGTCTCCTCTTGCTGCTGTGCTGGCAGCAGTATTGGGTGAGATGTTCCTTTTCAAGTGCCTAGATTTAAAGGTTAGGACTCTGGAGGCAGACTGTGTGCTGACAGCTGAGGGTCTTGGCACAGAGGCTGAAATCCTGCTTCCCTTTAAGCCAGCAGGAGTTAGCTCCAAAATACCTTTTTTGAAGGTCTGCTCATAAGACTCATTTGTAAAACATACCATAATGAATTTCCTCTGCCTGGTGAAATGTCTAAGAATTTGGTCCACTGGAGCAGGGGACTGACTGCTGTTCTGTCGCTGTGTTCCCTGGATTATTTGTACTAATGAAAGTGGGACCGGAGATGAGTGCCTGCTCTGAAACCCCAAACACAAGGAGCAGAACTGATGAGGCCTGCTCTGAAACCCCAAACACAAGGAGCAGAACTGCTGAGGCCTGCTTTGCTCAGGAGTTATCCTTCATTACCCAAATCCTTCCTTCCTTCCCCAGATTTCCCTGCACCCCGGTGTGCCAGTGACAGCAGGGGCTGCTGCTCCTCGGCAGCTGTGTGCTTGCTGAGCAGCTGCTGCCAGGCACAAATGGAACTCCTAAATTTCCCCCCTTTCCCTTTCCCTGCACAATGACATGGAAGAAGTGTCTGCTCTCTCTCAGCATGTTCACACTTAGTAGTACTTTAAAGCTTTGCCTTTTTTTGAGTTTGTAAATGGGCAAAGGAGTCTGGTCATGTATTCAGGAGGGAGAAGAAATCAACAGTTGGCCCTGCAAAACTTATTCCTTTAGGAAGCCAGATTAAAAATAGATGAATACATATGACTGCAATCAAATTTTATAGGAAGTTCAAGTTAGTTTCAAATCTCAGTAGGATTCTGTTCATTTTTTAGTGTTTTTTCAGTATTTTCAAGAACACAGGTAACACAGTTTTAGGAGTAACAATATTGCATTACCTGTTTTGAGAGCAGGGGTGCTTCCAGACAGAAATGTTTTGTACTAAGGGGCATTCTCTACCAGCGGTGCTTTGGCAAATGCTGTTATGAAAGTAAATCAAATGCTTTAATTGGGCTGTCACAATCTTCTGATAACATTTTCCAGCTGCTCAGAATTGGGGATGAAGAGTGTTCCTTGCCAAAACAACTCCATTTTAAATGCAACTTGAATATTTGGGGCATTTTATTTACATTCAGGTGGTAATGGCAATACGTGCAGAATCCAGCTCGTACACGTGTAAAAGATGTGTGTTGGTAAGAATCCTCTCTGAGCATCCTCAGCAGGGAGTATGAGGCTTGCAAACTAATTAATGACAGACAACTATCATAAACAGTTATCTCCATGATTAAAAGCTCTTCTCTTAGCACTTCTTAAATGTGCTAATGGTGTCACCTTATGAATATTAGGAGATAAATTATTCCAGTAAGAAGTGGCAAAACCAGTGAGCATCTTAATTATTTTAACCTTGGTAGCTCAGGCTGAGGAAGTTTTTTTTAAAAATGTATTAATAAAAAAAAGTTGAAACATCTATAAAATAAGCTCATAACACAGGATATATTTCTGTGTAACTAAGAGTAATCAAGGGGGATTTCAGCACTGGCCTGGAATTAGCAAGTACTTAAACTCCTATGTCACCACGCAGCATACACGTGACTTGGAGTTTTTCTGGCACACTATTGTGGTTTAGCCTCAGCCACAGCTCAGCCCCACACAGCTGCTCCATCATGGTGGGATGGGGGAGAGTTTGAAAGGTAAAGCCAAGAAAAGTCATGGGTTTGTAAGGTAATTTAATAAGAAAAGCAAAAGCCATGTACAGGCAAACCAAAACAAGGAATTTGTTTACTACTTTGCATTGACTGGCAGGTGCTTGACCATTCCCAGGAGAGCTTTATCACGCATAATGCTGAACTTGGGAAGACAAACTCCATCACTCCAAATGTCCCCCCCTCCCCTTTCCCTAGTTCTGTATGCTGAGCATGACAGCATATGGTCTGGGATATCCCTGTGGTCATTTGGGGTCAGCTGTCCTGGCTGTGTCCCCTGACATCTTCTTGTGTACCCCAGCCTCCTTGTGGTGGGATGGGGTGAGGAGCAGAAGAGGTCTGGATTCTGTAAGCCGTGCTCATCAATCGCTAAAACATCCCTGAGTTATCAACACTGTTCCCAGCACAAATCCAACTCATGCCTCAATACCAGCTACTGTGAAGAAAATGAGCTCTATCTCAGCCCAAACCATCTCACATACATGAGGAGCTGTTTTACTAGAAGAGAATTATTTCAGTGATGCTTTAATTGCATATTCAGATGACCAATGCATTTATAGTGTGTAGTATGAAAAGACATGTGGGGAATTGGCAGCATTTTATCTGCCCCCTGCCCCCAGTGCTGAAGATACAGCTGAACCAAACACATCCCAGGTAAACACCTGTGAACTGCACCATTAGGCACTGTGATGGATGTGGCCACTTGGGTCTCCATGCCTGTGGCTATTGATGATCATCCCTGAGGACCACACTGTAATTATTTACAATCAGGTGCACTAACTAGCCCAAGGACATGGCAGCATTTTAAGTGCTGCCTAGCATAACTAAGTTCAAGGAGAGCAGCTAGTGTGTTTGAAACACATCAGGAAGGTCTGCAGCGTGCAACTTGCACCTCTTGGGATCAGAGACACCATCCCTTTTGTGCAGTAATTTATCACAACCATTAAACAGAAGATGTGCTGCTGCAGGTCATTACTGCCAGCCCTGAGTGACATGGGTGAGTGTGGGTGGGCAGGATGAGTTCATCCTGCTTTCCTTTCACAGGTCACTGGGGACACAGAGCAGGATTTCTAACCTTCTCAAACTCCTTTGTAAAGCCCTTAAGAGGATGTTCAATAAATCTGAATGTTTAGCATAGGTAAACAGTGACCCAGCCAGTCAGGCTCTGAAGGCACTCTCCTCCCCAGCCATCTGTGAAGGGTGTGAAGTGTTGTGCTCCTTATTTTTGCTGAAATTTCATAATTTCTGGTGGTAAGCTTAGTATTATCCTGGATATATCCAGACTGGAGTCTTGCAGACATCTGAAGTGTTTTTTCAATGTGTTGTTGTACCCAAAAACTGGGTTCTTGTGCACTGTACAAAAGAACAAAGAAAGGGCCCTCTCTCCCAAAGGATTTGGCATTTTCATTTGGGTTGATCATATTTGGTAGCTTGAGATAGCAGTTATGTTAGTGGGCCTATTTCTGAATCTATAACAAAGGATTTATTGCACCAACCAAAGTTATTTCTGTATTATAACATAACTAAAGGCACCATTGCTGCTTATGATAAGCTTATGCTAGCAATGAGAATAATGATTCCATGTCTGTATGTGCTTCTTGATATCTGTGCCTACAGCTGATCAATTTATTTAGATGCCCAAGATGACAGCTGGGTTCTGAATGTCTCTAAATATGGGTTATGCTGCCAGTCAAGTGTTGTTAAATGTTTTAGTGCTTTAGTGTCATGGGGACTAGCTGGGATTTAAAATGCTCCTGAGTCCCATGATTGTGAAAAAAAAGCGCTGTTTGTGTTTTCAGTTTCCTCATCAAACTGTTTGCTGAGTCCAATGCAATTTTAAAAATAATTCTGTCCAAAATATTTGCCAAATTAGTGAGGATTGCAGTCTTTCTGACTGTGTTTTGTTGAAGAATAAAACCCCTACACATTTATCCTTTCTACATTTTTCCTCAGCATTTTTCTCCAAATCACATCTCAGCCACTAAATAAACCCAGCCAAGTCACTGATAAGTCAATTCAAATGCCACTGAAAGGTGTTTAAAGTCCAGGATTGAAATTCAAGTCAACTCAGAAATGTTTTCTGGAAGTGTCTGCTGTTCACACACAGGAGTTACTTTTCATTATGTTTTGTTAACACAAGTGACACTGCTAATGTTTTAAAGGGTACCTGTTCTTGCAGCCTCAGGCAGAATAATGTCCTGGTGCCACTGTGAGCTGTAGCCTGCCCCTGTACCTTCAGCAGGCATGGATCTGAGGAGTCTCTGGTGCTGGCTGGTGGTTGTAGTCAGTCACCCCTGATGTTTGCTTGGGCCTGCTTTGCCCTCTCTCATTCCCCATCAGCCAGAGCAAAGTTTGTGGTCCAGTACTGATGCCAGAGGTAACAAACAGAGGACAAAAAAGTGCTTTGGCTGTACTGTTAGTGTGAGTGTGCATTTG